GTACAGCCAAATCTTATCAATGCTTTTCCTGTTACAAAATTGTAGGTGCTCTGGGTGTTTTAGGCCTTGGTATATAGTTACTTTTAATGATCCCCCAACAATGCATTAATCTTACTTGTAATATCTGTGTTCCATATTGTGAGCCTCTGTAACTGTATAAATCACCATACAGGAGAGGGGCGTGAATTAGTGTGAGGAGCTGCTCTTCTATGGAAATTGTTATGCCCCTCCCCACAGAGGAGACCCTTCAATACCAGATGGGTTAGGGTTGGGTCTTACAACTGGAAGCTCCCTACATCTGGATTGAAAACCCATCAACAAAAGGACTAAAGACTGTAGTTGTTCTGCTCTCCTCCTCACGAAGATGAGTCATGCAAGTGGACTCCTCCCATCAGATGAGGTAGCAGCTCAGAGCACATGGAAGGAGGGGGATGAATCCCCAAACCAAAAGATCTAAGCATCTCGATGCTGCTTGGACTCAGGGTGTGGGGACCGCATGGGGCTTCTAGCATAAACAAGAGATCCCCAGCTGCTTAGCTAGGGTTAGCCCTAGAGGACAAATAGAGTTTACTGATTATAGAAGCCTATAATAACTTTTGAAACCTAAGACTAACTCATTTGTGTGTCTATGTTGCTTGCTTTAACCTTGTAAATAGCGCTCTAATTTCCTTTTCCTATTTAATAAATCTTCCTATAGGACTGGCTATAAGCTTTGTCTTTAGGGTGAAACTTTGACTATTTATGTTTGCAGTGGGAATATCCTTTAAGGGGAAACCCCCAGATCAGGAGCTGACAGCTTTGCTCATAAGTTTGATTAGGTGCAAAGGGAAGAAGATGAGATGGAGCCGGATCCAGAAGGTGAGAACCATCCTGTCCCAGACCCTGCAGTGGTGACCACCGCAATGGAACTGGTCCAGTTGCAGCACCTAAGAGCTAAGGGAGAATGCAACCACCAGGGACTCATGGTGGAATTGTGGATCAGGGAGACCAGAGCATCCCAGGCCGCTGAGGAGAGAGCCCACCAGAGATGCATGGAACAGTCAAGGCCAACCAAAAAGCTCAGGAGAGGCACACAGGAGGCTGATGGAAGCCCCAGCAATGCAGCTCAAAATACTGGAGGAGCAAAAGGGGCTTCTCATCCAATGCGTATACCCCCCACAACACACAGGAGTGGGAGAAAGTCTGCCCAATTTATAAAGTGACTGTGTAGAAGAGAACCTGTCCACCTTTCAGAGACTATGTGGGACGTGCAATATTCCAGAGGATAAACAGAGTCAGATTAACTTGGAAAGCAAGACATGTTTTAGTGATATGGAGGAGGGTGATGCTGAGGTGTACAAGAAATTTAAAGAAAATGTATTGAAAAGATTTAAGATTACCCCTATCGAGTGAAATATAGAAAGCTAGGAGTGTTTGACAGTGTCACTCATGTTTAATATGTACATCAACGTGTAATTTTACGAGAAAATGGGTAATGGGGATGGGGGCTGAAGGCGATTATGGAAAACTGTTTGATCTGACAGCCCAGGAGCAATCATTATGGAGAGTTACACATGAAGTAAAGGCAGCCATCTGTGACAAAAAACACCCACAGTTTTAGAGGCTGCAGAAATTGCTGATGACTATGTAGAATCAAGGGCCCATGGGGGGCACAAACCCCAGGGGAAGGGAAATTCCCATGTCACCAGGTTAAATGGGAAGAGGGGTTTGGAAATAAACCTAAACCCCAACTTGGACAAAAAACCCCAAGGAAGCCCAGGGTTTAAAACCTCATCAAAAGGGAAAGCAATTAGTCTGCCATCATTGTGGGGCTCCTGGCCATATAAAACTAAATTGCCTGAGGCTCAAAGTAACCCCACAATTCACATACCCCACTTTCCCCTGTGAGTGCCACCACCATTGCTCCATAGGCAGCGGTGTACAGGAGGAAATCCTCGTGAACTAGATTAGGACTGAGCCTTGGGAGGGTAATGAAGAATGTATTAAAAATGCTAAGGTAATTGGCATAGCCTGTATGGGCTGGAGGGACACTGTGTCCCGAGTCACGTTGGTCAGGGAAAGTTTGGTAAGGGAGGAAGATAGAATTCCTGGTAAAACTTCAGTCTATTAGCTGTGGTTGAATTCCCTGTAACTGTACCTTTGGCCAACGTCTACCCTGAGTACGAGAATTTTAAATGACTTCTTGGTGTGGGTATTAGATATCTACTTCTCAATGATGGTTTAATTGGTAACGCTATATTAGCCATGCCTAAAGCAGGTTAATAGCATAACTTGTGGCCAGAAGGAACATGGCTCTGCCTTGCCTGGCTTATCTGTAGGAGTGCCAACCCCCCAGGATTGTCCTGAAGTCTCCAGGAATTAAAGATGAATCTTTAATTAAAGATAATGTCATGTGATGAAACCTCCAGGAATTTGTCCAACCAAAGTTGGTAACCCCTACTAGTCTGTGGACAGCAGGAAGGGCTGGAGGGGCGGGAAATGCCCTCGGTCCCTCACCAGCTGAAAGGCAAAGGTGGTCTCCAGAGAAAGGGTTTGAAGATTCCGTTGATTTGCCGGAGTCTGCTCTGAACTTGAGTGAGACTCAAAGGGAATTTGAGGGGAGGAATGCAGCTCCCAGCAGGGAAAGGAAAGGGCAGATTTTTTTCCTAGAAAGAGGTTTGTTGTACAGGGAGGGCCCCATAGAGGAAAAAAAAGGTGCAAGCAGGTGTTTGTGCCTGTTTAGTATATGACAGGGTTGCTGCAGGTAGCTCATGATTGCCCTTTTTGCTGGACAGTTAGGGGTGGAAAGAACCCATGAGAGGCTCAAATTTCTATTGGCCTCACATGTTTGAGACAGTAAAAGATTACTGTAAGGGCTGTGTTTTATGTCAAAGCATAAGCGGTTAAAGGAACGCTGCAAGGCACCTTTGCAGCCTTTGCCCATCATCAAGGTGGTGCTAAAACCCAGCCGGGGGTGGGGGTGGGGAAGGATCTCAAAACCCTGGCTTCACACCAAGGTTGAAGGTCTGCATGCCTATTTTTAGCCCTGCAGAACCAGCCCCATAAGCCCAAGTCTTTTGACACAGGCTCTGAGACATTATCCTTTAGATGGTGCTGGTTCACTGTGAAAGGATGAGTCACTGCTATAAAAAAATTACCCTCTGATGAATGTCTGATTATTATTTCATTCTACATCTGATTTCTCATTTAGCTACTTCCTCCAGTAGCAATAAACCTAATTGCCTACTAGGGCTATTGCTTTAATCTTTGGGCTTACTCAGTATATACTCAAATTTTAAGTGTGGTTAATTTCTAATAACTATCAGTCATTCACCTAATGGGAAACAGTTGTATTGGTTTTAGTCTTAATAAATACCAATATATTTATATTGGGCCTTCCATCCCAAAGGGATTCAAAATTTAGAAAACATACAGAAACTACGTAGAGGAATCACTTTGCTAGTCACTTAAATGCAGTCATTTCTGGGGATACCTAACAGCGTCCAGAAAAAGAAAAGAAAGCAAGCAAAATATATATTCTATCCAATTGCCACTGCAGACAGTACATAGGTCAACACTAACTAACACTAACATTTTAGGGATAGCTCAGTGGTTTGAGCATTGGCCAGCTAAACCCAGGGTTGTGAATTCAATCCTTGAGGGGGCCATTTAGGGATATGGGGCAAAAATCTGTTGGAGGATTTAATTGGGGATTGATCCTGCTTTAAGCAGGGGGTTGGACTAGATGATCTCCTGAGGTCCCTTCCAAACCTGATATTCTATGATATCTATGAACTACCCAGGCTGAGTCCACCCCAAACTCTGATAGTAAGTGCTATAGATTTTTAAAAGGCCACAGCTGGTCAAGACCTTGCTTTTACTCTTCATCCAGAAGAACAAACCTTCTGGAGCACAGCATCCTTTAACACCAGGGTGGTGCATTTGTTCAGTATTAATCTGAGACCAGATTCTGCCACTCTTACTCATGATCAGTAGTACCCTTCTTCATCCATAGCAATACTCTCAGAATCAGGTACTACACAAAGTGAGTAGGGGGACAGAATCTGGCCAACACAAAGAGAAGAGTGTCATCTACACCATCATGGGTATGTCTACAAAGCAGCTAGATACCCGTGATTGGCTCGTGCCAGCTGACTCAGGCTCATGGAGTTCAGGCTGTGGGGCTATTTCACTGCTGTGTTGACCCTGAGAAGTGGGAGGGTCCCAAAACTTGGGTTCTTGCCTGAGCCAGGAAGTCTACACAGCAGCAAAACAGTCCCGCAGCCCAAGCCCCATAAGCCCAAGTCAGCTGGGGGTTTTTCTTTTGCTATGTAGACATACCCGTAGGCATTTCTTGGAGATCGCCAACCCTAGTTGGCACAATTCCTTTTAGCTGGCAGGATCAGTCAGGACAAGACAGCGACAGGTATACCCAGCCTTTTTAATGACAATGTTGCATGGCCATTCTTTGAAAATAGCTGCAAATTATAAGCATACTTTTAGGATACATAAACAAATATCATAAGAGATACTATACAATATAGATCTCTGGCAGGTATGGGCTTCTATAATTTAGAAGAGACTGATATTTTTTGTAATAGATTTTAGCCCAGCAGTTTGCAAGGTGTGGTCTGTGGACAGCTTGTGGTTTGCAGAACACTTAATGGTGGCTTTTGGAAAGCTGGCAGGTCACCTGGTTCTTTGTCTTCCAGCCGTTTCTATAGATGTCCACTCATTTCATTAAAGGGAGCTAAAATACATATTCTCCTAACATTATTTTTCCAGGTAATCCTTTTCCTGTAGTTTGTTATACAATCAAGGATGGGAGAGTAGCTGTCCATAAGATAATCTCTGCATTGGGACATGGTCTACACCATGGAAAAAGTTTGAGAACTCCTGATTTAATCAGTTGTCAGATCTCATAACAGGACTCAAAGTGTAGGCAAGTGAAACAGGACATGTACTCTGTGAGAAAGTGGTCAAAGAAAAGGTTGCTCTTTTGTTCAACAACAATATGGTACTTACTCACTATCTATAACAAGGCACGGCACATCATTTTCCTCTGCAATTATGTTTGCTGACCTGACATCATCGCTATGAACTGAAATAGATTAGAAAGATTTCAGCAGCACATCAGAACCGCACATTGTTTTGAAGCATTTCATGCTTTGCTATGGCAGGGTCCCTTTGGCTGTAGCTTAGAAATGAATACTGATAAGTGACTCATCAGCCTGTATGCCCAGTGCACAATATTTTCCTTCTGGGTAAATATTATTGAGCCAATCGCAATGCACTTTATTACCCCCAAGAATACCACATGATTCCAAAAGGGGATATTTTCCCATTCATTGCAATGTATTGTATTTCCTTTAGAATAGCATTTGCTTTAAGTCAGTCACCTGAGCCAAAGCCCATTGAAGTCAATGATAATGATTTTAATAGGCTTTGGATCAAGACCCGCAGCAGCAACTTTCCAAGAACCTTGGTATCATACATAATTAGCCTGAAGCCCCCGCCCTCTTTTTAATAGAGAATTGTGATCCAGAGAGACAAAATGCCCTGCATTCAAGGCTCAATCCTCACCCAACCTTTTACACAAATATTCACAGAAGATTAATACAAAGGGGGCCTGGAAGCAAAATTAACTGACAATTTGAATATTCTGATTTTGAATTTTTTTGATTAAATTCTGTGAGAATTCCCACCACATATTTTTGTAAATAAACTTACACCTCCTTTTATAATAACGATGGGATGTCAGAGATTTATTTTTCACACTAACAAATCCTCAAAGCATTCACAGGACCCACTTATAGTCAACCCATAACAATTTAATGCACATATGTGAAACGGACATTGGCTTTGAGCAGAAGCGCAGATATTTTCCCATTTCACCTGCCTTTTCATTGATTTTAACTGTGTTATGTCAATATATCGGAGACTGGTTAGGCAGCTGTTGCTCTTATCATGATGACTGGCATTGTCTAATTGTTTACTTGTGCTTCCCTGTCAGTCTGTCTGTCTGCAGCTCCCTGTTGTCTTTTATCTTATACTTAGATTCTAAATTCGTTGGGGCAGGGACAGTCTTTTTGTTCAGTGAATGTACAGCGCCTAGCATACTGGGGTCCTAATCCATGACATGGGCTCTCGGGCGCTAACCCAGGACAAATAATAAATTATAATAAAGGTACCTTTGCCCTGTGCCTGAGTATAGCGTGGCCACAACTGTGGATCCAGCCCTCTAAATACTGTGGATGCTTCCCTAAGGCTGGTTTGATACATTACGGCCTTAGGGATAGATTCTCCACTACCTCACACTGTATGTTGATGCAAATGGCAGTGTATTAAACCAGTTTTCACAGGTGCAAATGGCTAAGGCATCAGAGAATCAAGTCCTTGGACAGCAGCAACTTTGCACTAGATCTTAATTAATAACGGATTTTAAATGCTCTTATCTATGAATTGCACTTCTTGTAGATGCCAGAGATATCACAAACTAACATTTATTTTTAACGCTGCTACGTTTTATTATTTGCTGTCAGCATGGATTTCCCCTCTGACTTCTCTACGAATGCTATATTAGAAACACATTTTCTCCTTTAAAAGAAAAATATTGCCCTCTTTGGTGAATACAAAAAAAATCTGAAATTAAGATGAATTATTAATTTGTACCACCTGTGATAGTTTTATATTACAGAGTGAGCATACCCAGGAGACAAGGGGCAAGCAGTTCTATCCAAAATGACTTCATAACTGAAATCTCGGGAGGCCAGAACAGCGTTATCATTGCATATGCCTGATAAACTACGGGGAAAGGCTTCCATGAATTGTAAACTGAACTCTGCTGACGTGATTTACACTGAAGTAAAAAATAGTCCATGTGTACTTATCAATGAATTATTACGTTGCACAATATTTTATGATTGACAGAAACATGACTTACTATTAGCCAACCTTACAGGAAGGGTTTTCCAGTATATTCTTAATGTGACAGCTTACAGGCACCTTACACTGTACCATGATGCAATTCCTAGGCTCTCAAACTACTTTTAAATCAAATAAATAAACTCAGTAGCATATTATATCAGAATTACAGGTGTGGTTATATATGAAGTTTGATTCTGGGCTTTTTAACTAAAATCTCTGAAGTCTTTAACTAAAATCTAAACGGTAGATGTAACAGAGGAGGAATAGCATAGACTACACTTGGGTCAGAATAAAATTATTTCATTTGCATTTCCCTAACTCCAAATGTGAATTCGTCTTGGACTTTGAAAATCATAATAATTGGGTTCCATGTTTATTGTGACAACAATGGTACTTATACCTCTGTATGGCTTAATGCTGTAATTAGGCTAATGTTGATTATTTTTGAAAATACGTACGTTAGAATCTTTAACTTAGTTTTAAAATCTCTTATCACTGCAAGTAGTCTATATACTTGGTTAGTTTATCTTCAAAACAAAACACTTAGTTCTAGTCGTTATCCTTTGTATTTTCCTCCAGATCTTTTCTCCACGCTGTTTTTGTATCAATCGTTTTACTAAGTAAGGCAAAATCCTTGCAGTCATTTACATCAGTGCAGTATAGGGGTGAATCATTAAATGCTGCTAGAGCAGAATGATAATAAGTAGAACATTGGCATAAATACCTACAAAGAATGAAAAGTGTACAACGTGTAATAACCACTAACTTTGATGGCTCAAGTGTTAATCCCACATGCATTTTCTGGGATTATACCCTGATCAAACAAAGTAAGTTAAAAGCACATGGTATCTTAAAAAAAATCTGTATTTGGAGAGAAAAAAGGTCTAGTAGTAGCACAGACTGGTTTGTAATTTAAAACGTGCAAGAATCCAGGGGTTGAATGTCAAATATAAACAAACACATTACCCCTCTAGTGTATTCAAATGCATTCAAGACAATGCAGAGCCAAACCAAAGGTAAGATTGTTGTTAAAACAGAATCCAACTGCAATGATAACTTACTACTCTTGCAGACAACACGAAAAAAATACATAGGACAAAGAATCAGGACAAATGGGTCACAAGAGAAAAAGATCTAGAGAAGCATGCCAAATACAGAGACGAGCAATGAAAGAATGAACCCAGAAGACATCTTATACAGGGTCAGATTTGATAGCTCATTTTGGAACTATACCTAAATGTCCACTTTTTGCAGGAGATTAAAAAAAGAAAAACTAATAATGTTGGCTAATTATGGTCACAAATAACTCAATTTTTAATTGTTTAAAATAATGTTTGCTTTGGCTTTCAATTTCCTATTTTTAAAATCTAGATGAATAGGTTTTAAAGCCAGAAAGGACCATTGTGAAGATCTCATCTGACCTCCTGCATAACACAGGTCATAGCATTTCACCTTGTGAGTCCTTCCATTGAGGGAATTATTCTCCCCTGCATCATACGTGAAGACTTTCAAGCCCAATACCTTGTATTTGAAGCAACTAATATTTTAGAAAGGCATCCAGTCTTGATTTTAAAGTCCCCAAGTGGTGATGAATTTACCACTTCCCTTGATAATCTGTTCCAATAGTTAATTACTTTCTCTGTTAAAAAGTTGTGTCTTGCTTTCCATTTGAATTTCTATGAACTTCAACTTCCAGCTATTGGATCGTGCTGCGCATTTTGCCTACTAGCTTAAAGAACATCCAATATCAAATATATTTTGTGTTTTAGAACGTATCAAAAATCAAAATCAGAAAATTGTTTCTGTGAATCCAAAAAATGTAACACAGCTGAATTTATGCTATTTGACAATCAGTTGTATTGACTGTGTCATTGTATCTGCACAGGTATCTCTTAAGATCTTCAAGAATACTCCGGGTATCTTAAGCTGTTTTCTGGATCTACATTACACTTAGCTTCTAAGGAATTTTCTGCATTGTTTATGGTGCTGTCATTCTCATGATGTTCTGGAACACCTCTCTGTCCAATGCCCATGTCTTGACCTTGGTGATGGCTTTAAAAAGGTAAAAAGCCATTTTGTCTAGTGACTCAGTGGAAGATATTGTGGCATGATACTATGAGTATTGTACAGTAAAGAGCCATATTTTTCAAAAGAGATCAGGGCCCAGATTTTCAAGTGTTCTGCACCCACCGTTGCTACCAGATTTTCAGGACAGTTCAGCTCCCATTTAGCCACCTCCTATTTAGATTATCAAAAGTGCTTGGCACCCAGCAGTTCCCACGTTACGCTGAGCTACTTTGAAAAACTGACCATTTCTTTTGGTCTTAAATGGGAGTTGAACTCTTGTGAAATATCTGGCCCTGATTACGGGCACTGATCTCGCTTGAAAATTCTGCCCTATACTGCCTGTGAAAAAGCTAATTTCAAAATAGACAGGCTTGCATTTTCAAATGTGGGGGGTTAGGTTTTTAGTGTTTTGGCTTGGATCCATCTGTAATTTAGACTCAGTACAACGAAGTACATCCAATGAAGTGGGCATTCACCCATGAAAACTTATGCTCCAATACATCTGTTAGTCTTAAAGGTGCCACAGGACTCTCTGTTGCTTTTTACAAATGCGTGTGATATATACTATAAAATAGTCAGGTCTGGCTGTTGTACTATAGTGATGCTAGACTAGGTTCAGCAGTTTTATACACAATAAAACAAGTTGTTCGATGCGGGGGTAGGGTAACTTCAGAAGAAAACTTCACTGAAGTTATTTTATCACAGGAACACAGAGACATTTTTACTTAGAAAGAACAATGTGTGGCATGTAATGGAGCACAAGGGGATAAGTTACTTAGAAGGTTCCATCTGCTTCATAAACCCTTTGAAGCCTGTTACAGACTAGAAACCATTGGATTTAGCACAGAGGTATGGGCTAGATTCTCAGCTGGTGTAAATCAGGGTAGCGCCGCTGAAGTTTTTCTTCTGCAGTTACCCGCTACCAGATCTAACAACTTGTTTTGCTTGACGTGTATAAGCACAGCTCCACTGACATCAGCTGGGAACCTAGCCCTAGTCTTCTAATTATGAGTAAAGCAATTGTAAGGGAATTGTAGCCTACGAGAGGAGAGGGGGAAATGAATTACATAAAAAGATCAAACAATTCAAGTACAGCTACTGTGTCTGCAGATATTCTTGGCTAGTCTTAGCACAGATGCATTAAGCTCTCTGGCTGGGTACACTCCTTGCTTGCCTGGGATGAGCTGTTCCTTTTGTTCAAAGGCTGGCTAGAAAGGCAGGATTTCACTAGACATAGTCCCAGTAAGCCCTGCTCATAGAGGGTGCCCAGTTAGGGAGAGCTGCATGACAGCTTTCACCAGAAGAAACTCAGGCAGACCATACATTGGAGCTCTTGCAATGATTTAGCTATTCATAAATCCTTTCTGGTTCCCAGTGGGTTTCCTCAAAACTAATAATTTGTGTTAACAAAGACTCTAAAATAATGTGACAACATAACATGCAAAAAAACCCCAACCCCAGAACAAACAAAAAACGTAACGATAATTGTACAAAACATGGAAAGGGGAAGAATGTGGAACACAATCAAATACAGCAGTGAATTAGTAAGGAAGAGTAAACACATTATCAGTGCCGTTCTGTGTATTATGCAGCTGCAAAGAAGAGAGACTAAATGCAATAATTTCATTTGCATAGCCAGTCTCTTTTGTGTCAATTGGAGACACAACTTCAAATAGCCAATAGAAAAAGCAGAGAAGGAGAAGGAGCTCAAATACAAAGTAACACCAAGATCTGATTGTCCTAATTAAGAATTTGGCTAGATCTATATTTGTTTGGTAACATGGAACCTTTTAAGAAAGTCCAAAGCAACAAGCATCCACTTTTTTTTCTTTTCTCCTGGAGCTGTTTTTATCTAATCCACAAATACCATAGAAGAAGGTTCTTAAACCTAGAGTCCATTTTTTCTTTAATTTAAATACCAAGATTGCATTCTGAACAAAAATCTTACAAACAGAAGACCATCACTCCTACTAAATCATTCAACCATTAAACATAATCCTTCCTTAACATATATCTTGGTACGTTTGGCTTGCAAGAACATTTTGGAGATGCCTGACTATTTACCTAATGTCATACTGGAGAAGGAAATATGTTCATGTCTTGGTATTATTATATCTCCAGATAGGAACTCAAAGAGGAAATACTTAAGCTCAGAGGTACAGTCAGGACATGTATGTGTATATTAAATGATAACTTCAAGATGAACCTGGATACAATGAAAATTTCACTCCAGCACACATTGATTTCATTTTTGGTAGCATTTTAATAATGAGTTATGTATACCTTTCACAGAAGCTGTCCTTGTGCAGTTATATAAAATGGCTAGTTCACCAAACGTTGTCCACTCAGGGATTGATGGCAGTAGCTTGTTCTGCTGGAAGACCTCCACCCTGCCCTCTGTCAAAAGTCATCATGAGAACATGCAGTGAAGTTGAGCTACATCACACAGCTCAAATGAAAAGCAAATAAGACATTTCTGGTTTCTCCACAGGCTGAGATATCACCAAAATATAAAAACAATGCTTTGAAACAGGAGCGAAAAAGAGAGTTTTGATATATACATTCCAATTGGTTAATTTAGGGTTTCCTGCGTCTTAGAAAACATTTTCCAATATCAAAAAGGATACTGCAAAGGGGAATGTCAAACCCTGAAGCTATAAATAATACACTGTCAAAGAAGAGATACATTGATACATTTTGCTAAATATTATTATGGCCTAGATCGTCCCCTCTTGTGATTAAAAAGTAGGGAGAATTTCTCCACTTTCCTGCAGAGATCCCTCCTCTACACACACAACCCTTTTTGTATGTAGAAGGGGTAGTTCCTCCTCATAGAAAAGGTCTCTAGGCCTAACTTCAAACCTGGCAGATCTCAGGGAATTTAAGGGACCCTTGTACTCCTGTAGAGCTGTGGCCCCACACACTTCTCTGAAGACCCCCTGGAAGCATGGATCAGTGGCCTAATTCTGCTCAGTAAGTGATGTGTGCTGTATCTTCCTCAGATAGATTAGAACACAAAGGAGAACATCATAATCATTGATTAATACATATAAGCAAATGATACCAACCTGCCAACACAGAAATATGGTTGCCTGGGTCTCCTTGTTTGAGTTATAGCTACCCTGCTGGTTTGTTCTCCCATAATACATTCCACTGTATCTTGGATCTGCTGAGGGTACAATCTCTTCATTCAGGGCATCTGTGATGAGCTTTTTCTCACTGGTATCAACCAAAAAGCTGAGTTAGTTAAACTGGGATTTAGCAGCACTGGAGTACTTTATTCACCTTCTATACCTTCATCTCAAGATATTCAGAGTCCGCTACCCATGCAGGCAATACCATGAGGCATGGCCACATCTCATGATCAGCTATTTCTCCAATAGTCTAATATGTATTATATTTTACCTTCCAACCTCCAATAAATATTTTTCTGGGGAAGTTAGGTTCTAATACATTTTGACAACACTGAACCTTGAGTGGGGGGGAAGGGGGAGGAAGGCAAGGAGCAGAAATGCAGGAAAATGTGAACCAGAGGTGCAGTAAGTCACTACACAGCATGCCGTCAGGTCCACAAGAAACACCGTGTAGCAAATCTCATGGGAGGTGGTTAAAAACCCACTCCAGAGAGCTTCCCATGTGCCTGTGAACTGACATCTACACTGTATCCCTCCATGCTAATGACAACAACATCTGAACATGACTCAGGAAACTCTGGGAGGTCACCTTGCAGAGTGCCTGCTTAATGTGCCCTTCAGGAGGGCTTGTGGTCCTGGGGGAATGAGAGGGGTGAACCCACCATGCTCCACAGAGCCCAGAACTCGTGAGGCAAAGGAAGCTCCAAACTCGTAGATCTAGGGAAATCCATGTTGATTCCTTTCATACTGCTCTCTGCCTTCTACCCACCTGAAAAACACAACTCCTCCCAACCTTGCTAAGCCTGACTCCTCCTCCCTCTCCACAGGGAGAGGGCAAGGCAGAGTGGTATTTAATATTGATCCCAGCAGCATTCACTTCCACAGCAAACTCCTACAGAAACACCCCCAATTTAGGAATTCAGCTGCTCCCCAGGCCCGTCAACAGCAATTCCGGGTCCTAGGGCAGAACAGTCAATGGGCGCTCTTCCAGCACGGCCAGGGCTTCCGCATGTCTGCCCGGCTGCCTTCGCTGCGTCGGTGAACCTAGGAGCCCTGCGGGCCGCCTGGATGATTTAAAAGGGCCCGAGGCTCCTGGCTGCTGCCGCAACAGCCAGGAGCCCCGGGCCCGTTTAAATTGCCCAGGCCCCTGGGCAATTGCTCCCTTTGCCTCCCACCCCAACGGCGGGCCTGATGCTCCCTGTCTGCCTGACACCACCCAGAGAGCCGTACATGGGGGAAAAAATGGATTTGCTGATTTTCAGCAAACTCCCAGGGAACAGACGAGCCTGACACAAAGACCCTGCTCCTGCCTTTCAGGACACTTGGCGTTGAAAAGTACAGGACGACATAGGGAGGACTAGGCCCAGCGCATATGTAAATCATCCATTACCAATAAGCCTTTTGCTATCTGAGATCCAAACACCCCTATTATTGTACAGTACACTTGGGTATATGGTAATGTATTTGCATTACGTCACACCCAAATGCAGATGCCTGCCAATAGCAAGTTACTGCTGTCCAGGGAGAGGCTGGCGAAATTGGTTTACCCAGTGTCTAGAACCGTCAAAGGGGAAAAAGCAAAGTATGCATAATCTGAAGACCTGTGACAAAAGGACAGTGCTCCCAAAGCAACTTCCAGTGCTAGTAAATGATGATGGATGAGTGGAGTCGTTCTGAGGAGAACACGACATAATTCAGCCACCTCTGGAAAAGTAGCATTTGGATTTCAGTTGGGAGGGGAGGATGGAAAGAAGTCACCATTGGGTGACTCCATTCGGGGAGGGGGGTGAATATACCACCACGCAATCAATGCCACTCCCAAATCAGCTCAAGGGATGGTTGTCAGTACCCAGCATGAACTCATTCAGCCCCTACAGGACCAAGGAATTAAGACTCGAGGGAGAATCAAAACTTAGGGCTTACAACATTGCAATGCAGAGAACAACCACTTAGCCTCCAGCCTTCCTAGGCAGCACTAGATTTAAAGCAGATTTGCACACATGCCAACCGGAACGTGCAATAAACTGAGTGGGGCAATAATCTGGATTTTACAGATCCATCACTGAACAGATCTTAATCCTTAGCTCAACAGAAGGGCAACCTATGTCCTAAAGTCCTCATGTTGTCATTATGCATTCATGAGTCTAACAAAATAAATCCCACCACTGTACTCCAAAAGCCTCCAAGGTCCATGCTGGCTTGGATTCATAAAAGGATATAAAGCTGTCTCTGGGATAAGGTCATGTCGGAGGATCTTCAGAGGGCAATCTCAGAGTGAATAATCACTTCCCATTAGGAGTTTGATTTATCTGCTTCATTATTCATTGCATGCTTGAAAATGAGTAATGGCAACTATAAGAGGATAAAAAAAAAATCAAACAGGCCTGGTAATCACTGTACTTATGTGCTGATTTAGAAATCCTAAGAATGTAGCTTTTCCCTAAAGCAATGCTGTAATATCAAAATACAATCCTTACATTCCATTTTGTGCTAGAAACCTTGTTTGGTGAGCATGCACTTTCCTAGATCATGCACATAATAGCTGAATAAAGAGAGAGGTGGCTGATAAACAGATATTTCTATGCAAGCGTTGAGGTTCCTCCAAAGCTATCTGTTTTACTCTGGAATGCAATTAGAATACGCTATTTTGTAAAAGTGATGTTTTCTACTGAGTGTGGGATGGCAGATATATAGTTAACATTTTCCACAAAAACCTGGGACCAGATTCTCAACCAGTGTACATCAGTCGAGCTCCTCTGACTTCAATGTACACCAGCTGAGAACCTGGTCCATAGGAGAATAGGATTTTCTGGGTGATGATTTCCTATGATAGATAAAGTGGCTCAAATGCCCGTAAGTACAGAGGTGTGGCACACCTATCCTGTAGCAATAGCTTCACCTGTAGGATTGTTTCCATGCTAAACAATGTTTTGAGAGATCATATGTTCCACACAGCATCAGTTACAAATCAAGCACAAGGCGGCCTCACTAGCCATTGGTTATTTGAGAGATCCAAGTATTGAGTGTTAAGCTTGATCTCTTGCTCCTGATTGGATAAAGACGGTACGTGAAGTAGGGTCATCGCTGTCAGCCCTCAGCAAAGGGATAGATTTTCACTGCTCTTTATCATCCCATTCAGGTAGGCATGTTAAACGTTGCTGACGGGTTGGGGGAGGACAGTCACTGCAAGGTTGAGCCTTCACAAGTGAGAGGGGGCAAATGGAATCATCCGTGATCCTCATCTCCCCAAAATGTTGCTCCTCCATTATACGACATGAATAACTGGAGTCAAAATGCTAGGTAGGGCCAAGAAAAGATTTCCCATCAAAAGTGGCTTGTGATTTTTAATTTATTTTTGTGAAAAGTGTCTGCTTTCTGTGAAAAATTTCAGTTTTTCATTCAACAAAACATAATGTCCCCAGACCCAACACGTTTTGGTTTTTGGCCAAAGTTTTTTGATATTTAAATTTCCACCAAAAAATCCAATTTTTCCAGAGGGAGGAGAAGACATTTTTTAACTCTCTCTAGTGCTAAGGTTTGAAAATCAAAGCCATCAGAACCATTCATTTTTGTACGTACCTCACACCTAAAATAGTCATCGAAAGATTCCAAACTCTCGTAAAAAGTATTCACATTCAGTCATCACCTTCAAAAAATAATCTCTTTTTACTTACAGCACAGTAGGTTGCACTCAAAAGTCCTGAAGACTTAATACAGGAACTTTGTTATAATGACGTGTGTGTTTATAGTTTGTTCAGAAGGTGGTTTGCATTTTGTAAGAGTCTGAACTGATTATTGATTTTACATTATATTACTTATGTAGGTCCTCCTTCCTGCTGAAATAGCTCCTTCCGTAATTGGGTAGGAATATTCTGCAAGTATTTGATACAAGTGGGGCTGCGGTATGGTACATGGCTCCTAATGAAAAATAATCATTTATATCCGTTTGTCTGTACATGGTTTTAACACGGCAGCAAAGACCAAGGCACAGCAATATCATTTTACAATTATAATTACAGTGGATGGGACATTCAATGGACAGTCCTTGTCTATGGATTTTGCTCCTTCTAGGGAGCCACCTGAGCCCTGGCTTTGCCATCTTTAGGCCTGATACCTAGCCTTCCCCAGAGCTGTTGAATCATTAGGAAATGGTCATACAGATGGTCACGATCTGGATTTAATCTATTGAAGAAAGCAATTCTGACAGAGAGGGAAGAGTTGTTTCTTGGTTGCTCTAGTGCTTCTAAAGGGTGCCCAGATACTGTGGTCCTGCCTTGAGTGCAGGGGACTGGACTAGATGACCTCTCAAGGTCCCTTCCAGTTCTCTAATTCTATGATTTTATGGTGAAGGGTGCCTTAACAATATACAGAATAAATAATACCAACAGATAATAAATATTCATAACAACATCCTTATGTCTGTAACACAGGTTTTTTGACAGTTGTCATACACCTCATAACTTTCCAAATTATTTCCTTTGGGGGCTAACACTGACTATACTTGCCCAAAGGTGGGGGGGTGTTGTGTTTTTTTTACACTCCTAGAAAGATCGAGCAAAATCTCTTTTGACATTTTCAATTAAGGTAAGAATGAGAAAAAAGTATACGTTTTTTCTTTGTAAAAAAATTCTAAACAAAATAAAAAGGGCAACGAGCTGAAGTTTGAACCCTGAAATTCAGCATGGACACAAATCTAATGGTAGGTTGGTTGTAGGAGAATAACAGTTTGAAAGTTACAATTGGTAATACGACAGACTCAAGTTTTGTCCCCTTGTCCAAACAAAATATGCCAAATTGACGTACTTGGCTACCCTGTCCGTAAAATGGAGCTGCTCCTGCACACTCACCTTTAAAGTGCTTTAGACCTGCCAGTGAGTCAGCTTTATATAAACACAAAGCATCATTATACAAAAATAGCCTCCCGCAATCTTAACGGTCACCACTGATCATTATTCTTCTCGAACACCTGGACCGCACTCCACGCCCAGAGCCAGGACTAGAACACAACCGATGTTCTCAAGCTAGCTCGTGAATGTGACAGAATATTTTTGATTTTTTCATTTGAAACTAACTTAGGAAACACCATGCAAAAGTATGTTAAAAATTATGAAGATTTCAAAAAGTTGAGTATGCAAAAGGTAAGATTGCCTCCTACTCTTCTGCATTATTGAAGTCTCTTACATTCCAGCATCAAAAAATTTTTTTTAAATAAGAGAGAAGTGTTACTAAAATATGTAAACACTGTTGGGCAATCTCACTAAATACATACATGTAATAAGTGTGTTTGACTTAGATATTCTTCCTTACCTATTGATTTCACCTGTTCCTTCAAATTAATGCTTTGGGGACATGGTCAAGTCTGGTACACCTAAAATCAGACTTTGTAGGTATGGTCCAGTTCGCAGGTGTACACATACCTCAGCACTTACTGTGAATAGCACTGACATTCACAGGAATTCTGCTCTTTGCATGACCATGATGTCAAACAAATTCAGTCTGTGTTTCTCACCCAATCCGGAATCCTGAGATGTTAGCCCCATAGTCCTTGTTCTGAAGGGCTAATTAATTATTGAAGCTCAAGAGGAAGGAAATTGACATGACTTAAATGGATTTGTGCAGCTTCTCTGTACTCGGGTTAATTTCACCCCTAACTTGCATATCTGCACACACTTTTCTGCTGCTTATGCATGAAAATAAGGGCTGATCCCAGCGCCTCAGTCAGGATTTACCAGGCCTGGGATGAAAAGAAAGGCAGGATCCTATTATTCTATTTTTTCCATCAACTGCACAATATTTCCCCCCTCTACCTTCTCTCACACACCCAATCGCCATTTTTGTTTTTCACTTGTGTGTTTAGTTAGGAATGTACAGATCCAGGTTTTTAATTGGACCCAGTTCCGTGATCTGCTTCTCACATCTGTTCCAGAGCTGAAGACCAATTCCTCTGACCAAACCCGATGGAATAAGTCCTAGCCGTCAACTAAACATCCAACTTACCATTTAGGAAATAAACAAAACAAAGGTTTAAATACATTTTGAGAGAGAGGTTTATCAATCCTTTAGTTTTAACTTTAAAATTTCAGTTTCTCTCTTCTTTTTTTAAAACCCCTATTGCGAGATAGTAAAAATTTAGCCTGTAAACTAATTAAAAAGAAACTTTGCACACAAGAGTGATGCAGGCTGAGGGGTTGGGCTGGTGCAGGGAGAGAACTCTCATTCAGCTGGACTAAGTTTTCTTTCAGCGCCTCTCCCTCCTCCCCCCTTTCAGGTAATCCTCTTTTAGAAGGTGAAGTAACTCAAAGTAACTCGCATGAATGTAACATTTTGAATTAGTCTTTAGAAACAAATGTGTGTATATCAAACCCACTGTTAACGTAATGTTAAGGTTGCAATTTTAAAAAATAGAGTCAGAAATGTGGGAAAATGTATCTCTTCATGAGCCATTGATGCTACAGGACTTTTTATAACACCATATAAATCATAGTTCTGCCATGGTTTCTCCTCCTAAAAGATACACTCCTCTGAGACATAGTTCTTCTCTTTGCCTAACAATTCCTGTCAGTTTGTAAGGGAAAACTTTGACTTCATTTCCCTGTGCTGCAGCTAGCAGAGGCAGCATGCACATCAGCAGTTAAGCCAGGCAAATTGTAAAAAAGACTAATTATTTACCCTTCACTTTTCCCCCCTTCTTTGTCTTATCTAAACTGACTCGTTGCTATTCTCCAGTATATCCATGTCCTCCGTTCTGCCTGTTGGAGCAACAGCCATACAGAACCATCCCCCCTAAAACCAGAACTCAACATTGCAAAGTAAAAGGCAAGGCTCTTGTTTAATCTGTTATTGGTAGGTGATCATTACCTCTGATTCTATGGCCAGTTCACTTTCACTGCAGTGAAATTAGAAGCGCAACTTAACAGGAGTTGCATGGTCAGTTTCCCTCAAACCATACTGCAAAATCACTCTGAAAGGCTCCCGGCCATGCAAAAAGTGTGATTTCTGGCCATGGAGCCTCTGAGGCTTCCATGGCCTCATTGCTACAGGGTATAGGCCTGATGGAGAAGCCAGAAATGTCTTCATCAGTGCAGCTCAGACTCAAATCTTTAGTAACACTCCTCTACACTCATCTATGACACTTTCATAACTCAATGCATCTATTGAGGACACCGACATAGACATATGGAAGGATTTCAGAAGCCCTCTACAACTTTTAAAAGAAAACTTGCACATTAGAGCAAACTCAGAGAGAACATGGCCCAGGCTAGATTCTTTTCTGCACCTAGATCCACCTGAGTGGAGGGGAGTCGGGTCAAGGAGCTAGTGAGAGCTGTGGGTGAGTCTCTACCAGTCCCAGCATAAGTAAGAGTAGCCACGGGGCTGCTCTAGTTCATCCATGCTGCCTCTGTTACCTAAAAGGACTGCACACCCCTTGAGAATCGGTGGAGAGCAGCTGAAATCCGCCTCTGCTCCCAGCACACCCCCTCCAACCTTTACTCTGGGGGCATAGGAGCTGGAGACACCCACGGACACGTCTCCCAGATGGGACCAATGATGGCTACCTTCCAGCTGTACTGCTAGTTCAAAGGGGAGAGACACCCTGGCCCCTTAGGGTGACTTGAACTGTATTTGTTTGGGTTCTATTTGCTGTTATCGGTAATGGATGTGTTTGAGTCAGACCTTCCTTCCGCATACCCTAGCTTCCCTGCCTCTGAAATTACTACCAAGATCAAGATGGGAGAAGATAGGCAGCGAGGGAGAAAACCCTCCTTCAAAACACAAATATTTTTGCTAATGGCAAAGGCCTGTGAGCTTGATGCTACTCGTGTTAACCTATTCTGGATTATTATCATCAGCTACTGGGGGATGACTCATCCATCCTTTCTGGCTCATGCATGACCCTCTAACATAGCATGCCAGGCATGTTTGAGGGCTAAATCCAGCGTGACCATTTTTAATCACATCTTTTACTGTACAGATTCAAAGAAGAGATGAATTCTTCACAAAATGAAAATCCAGGATGCGTATACGATTTGGGGGAAGAGGGAGGACAGACTGCAGCCTGCATGCTGGTAGCTGCCTGCTGTTTAAAGGGCCACATTGCCATTAGATCTGAACTGGCGTGCAAGAGTGAGGGAGATCTAAACGGGCTTCTCCCCTGCTTGTCCTTGTGCCCTGAGACAGACACAAAGTGGCCGAGGAACAGAGGCTGTGTTGCCAGATAGTGGTGGCTTCCCTCAAAGGGAGGAAGCGATAGGGCCGTGGAAGGAACTGCCTCTTCCCTCTAAGTCTGCAGAGTTTGCTGGACATGGCTGGGACGTGTTTAAAGGGTGGCAGAGCTCCTACTGCAGCAAAGCTCCTACAATCCCTCTCCAGAGGGCTGGGCCTTTACAGCCTGATCTAAAGCCCAAAGAAGCCAGTGGAAAGATTCCCATTGATTTTGGTGGGCTTTGGATCAGCCTTTAAAGACATAATCTAGCCCTACGTAGCTCTATATCCTCTTGTCAAAATTCAGCGTTAATGCTGACAAACAGAGTAGGGCCCAGTGAACTCTATGAAACAGTGAGGCGAAATGAAAGTCCCAAATTGTTTCACTGCATTGCTTGGCACAAAATGTAAACCTACTCAGCGCTTAGACACTATGGTGAGAAGCATGATGTGAAAATCTAAGGCAGATGGATACACTGAGCCATCAAGTATAGCGAAGGTGCCCTGTGAAAAATAGTGAGTTCATGGGAAGAGGAAATGCAATGGTAGACGTGACCAGAGAATTACAAATGCCCTGGAAGGAGCTCACCTGGAGTCTTGCATTTTGAAAGGAAAATTTGGGCTGTTTGCTCAGATCCTACGTCCTGGTCTTTGGCTTTGCAGATATGCCTTCCTTAGCATCTCTCCTGTTAACAGAGAACAAGTCCGAGACAGCTTGGCTGATCCTAACAACCACTTTATGATGAAGGGAGGGAGTTCCTTGCCCGGGTGTTAACAGCTTGTTCATCTGGGGACACTTGCTGTGAAGTTTCTTGGTGAGGTTAGCAATGGCTTTGGTTTGCTTATCCAGCTGCTCCTGGAGCTCTGCGATGCGACATCTGCTCTCTCACAACTCTTCCTCTTTTCTTCTCAGCTCCAGAATCTTACTTCTAAGAACATCAGCTCTCCCTGTTGCGTGGACGCCCAACGCTGGCTCTTCCAACAACTTGCTGTTGCCAGAAGAACTGATGGAGACGTTTGCTGCATGTCTATCTGCCCACTTCAGTTGCTTGGGTTTCATTGAGCCGTTTCCCATTTTACCCAGTGACCTAGGAAAGAACACAGTGGTACTTTTGCTTAATATTTATTTTCTGGTTGGAGAACTGGATGACAACCAAAGAGTTTAACATTTAACTGGCTGATGAAAATGGTGTACATTGATTTTTTTAAACTCTGTAAGAAGTGGAAATGACATTTGAACTCTTTTCTTCCTTTTTTTAATCCTGCAGGGACATGTATATATAGAGAGCATTTCTAAGCATTTCAAACCAAAGGTCTGTGTTACCTGCTGCTCATGTTCGACAATGTAAGAGCAGCTGCCAGGCAATTCACACATGAAACTGAAATCCTGATGTCAGCTTTGCAGAGATAAAACAAATAGTAACAACAGAAGCATGAAACGCTCACTCTTCCCTCTACTGCTCAAGTAAGAAGTGATCTTTTCAGTTAGAAAGGAGATGTTAGTAAAATGGCTGTTTCTAGTTACAGTTTCCTAACTGTTAACTTATTCAGTAGTGTTGCTTAGATCCTCCTCTTTCTACAATTTGCCGGTGCTTTGGTGAGAGATGGAAGGAAAGAACATCAAAGTTAATCTCTGTTGTGTGAATCTATGAGGGGAATTAAACCATTCGGATGCAGTGAAGGGATGTTTTGCTTTTTCATCATTTAAGACATAAGTTTATTTTTTTGAACAGCTGTTTGTATTTTATATGAATAGACAGACATTCAGGGAACCAGACTGATCAAAGTTTTATAGATTCTAAGTTACAGTAATGCAGACAGATCCTCAGGAAGAGAGGAGCATGAAGCCCTTACCAGTGCGTGTGGCAGACACAGTGTTCATTAGTTCACTATTATTCCCTGTGTTGGTGGAGAGCCCAAAAGGCCCACCACCAAGCAAGAAATCCATCGTCAACTACACCGGACAATGACCTCAATTGTTCCACAAGACCCCATCGCCATCAGCACAGATGAAGTAAAGGAGGGTTTCGTCTCAATGAAGAAAGGGAAGGCAGCTGGCGGAGATGGTTTCCCCTGAAGAATTTCTTCATCATCTAGGCCCCAAGGGACTCCAATGGCTGGTGAAGTTGTACACTAATCCATGGAATCCAGATGCATCCCAAAAGCATGAAGGGAGGCAATGGTCACTGCTATACTCAAACTGGACAAGCAGAGTGATAACCCAGAAAGCTATAGGCCAATATCACTCCTGTGCATGACTTACAAACTTCTGGAACGTATCATCCTCCGGAGAATCAGCCTCTCTTTGAATCAGTGATTCCCAAAGAACAAGCGGGATTCTGGCCTAAATGCAGATGCTATGACCAGGAGCGCCGCCAGCTTTTCTGCCGTCCTAGGCGGTGGAAGGTCCCGCCCCGAAATGCCGCCCCCCACAGAGGCGGCGGAAGGTCCCGCCGCCGAAATACCGCCACGGTCGCCGCCCCCCAAATTGTAGCGCCCTAGGCGACTGCCTAGGTCGCCTAATGGGTTGCGCCGGCCCTGGCTACGACCAAGTTTTGGCCCTTACAATGCACATTGAGGCTGGATTCCAGAAGAAATCCAAGACCGGTGCAGCTTTTGTAGACTTGTCATTGGCCTACAGCATGAATTAAAGACCTGATGCTGAAGCTTGCAAGGATCATCTCCTGCCTCAAAACATTGCAGCTGCTATGGATGATGCTGAGGAATAGGCATCTGTGTGTCCATTTGGAGCCAACAAAGTCAGCTCGCCCTGGTTCCTCAACAACGGACTGCCACAAGGCTCAGTACTCACGCCCATGCTCTTCAATGTCTCTATGAGTCACATGCTGCCAATGAAGTTGCACAAATTTGCATATGACCTTGCCCTGACAACACAAGCAACCGGCTTCAACAATACCAAGTCAACTTTGAATGGGGACCTAAACACCATGGAGGAATGTTTCCAAAATGGAGGCTCAAGCCAAACCCCCACAAAACAACAGTCACTGAATTCCATTTTGATACCAGGAATGCTAAACAGAACTTGAAAGTGAGCTTCCGTGGGAACACTGTGACATGACCCCACTCCGACTTATTGTGGAGTGAAGCTGGACCGCATGCTAACCTTTCACAACCACCTGGAGAAGGTCCCCACCAAGATGAAGACAAGGGTCCACCCGGTCCAGAAACTGGCAAGATGGGGAGGATCAGCATCAGTGCTACAGACTTCAGCAGTGGCACTTGTGTACTCCATAGCCAAGTACTGTGCACTGGTATGAACCAGAAGTAGCCACGCTCAACTTGTTGATGTCCAACTGAACACCGTAATGTGGTGCATCACTGGAGCCCACAAGTCGACCCCAACAGCCTGGCTACCCGTGTTGTCACACGTCACTCCACCACCCATTCTCCATGATGCCACAGCTCTCTGGGAAGTCCAGCAAATTGAGGAAAACGAATGTCTCCCCATCCACCAGGACCTCAGTGATGTCCCTCACCATCACTTGAAGTTGCGCCAGCCCTTGTGGACCCGCACGCTTAACCTTCGACAATGTGACTTCAACCTTGATGAAGCTTGGAAAGCTGACTGGCGTTCACAAGAAGTCACAAACAAATACCTTGTGAAAGACCCAATGCAGAATGAGAGAATAACAGAGTCTATGAGGGTAATGCTGATTTAGAGAGGCCTTCTGTCATGGTGTGAAGAGGAACCCCTGTAAATGGCTTCATCTACAACCCTAAGCGTAGCTCTAATGTGATAGAACTTAGTTCAGAAAGCCTTGCAACTAAGGTGAAATTTACCCACAGTGAATAAAAGTAGCATTGTAGCCAAGTTAGTGGGACATGTGGCAATTTCCTGTGATATGATGGGCAAACCTTATTGAATTAAGTTAAATCTTACTGAATTAACTTGAATACCTTTGGGGTCCATTGTATTAAAAATAAAATTGTGTTACTGTGACATTGTATGTAACTTCTCTTGGAGGAAGAGATGTGCTAATGTAATTTCTCCACTTATTAGCCCTTCAAAGCTTCGCCTACGTCCTGCGCAGGAGACCCACTGTCTGACAGATTTCCTATTTGCGGTCTCTTCAAAGATTCAAATGGGATTCTCCAGACAAAGCAGACAAAGAAAGGATGTTGGGATACATAACCAGTTTATGGCTGAGGGCCTTCTTTCTGATCCAGCAAACAGACAAGACCTAAGGATTGGTGCCCTCCGTGGTTTTCCTCAATTTGCTGGACTTCCCGGAGGATTGCAGCATCACAGCGAATGGATGGGGGAGTGATGTGCAATCCACCACCATATTTAGACTCCCCAGTATGTGGCCTGATTTTCAGAGGGGCTGCACACTTACTGAAGTCTCTTATTTAGGAGGTTACATACAGTTTTAGGGGCCTATCTTTAGGCATCCATTTAACTAAGCCTCATAGTCTGTTATCTGTAATCATACACTTAGATCAATGACAGTTACAGTCTCAGATTAAGGACTTGGTACTAGAAGGACTTATGCACTTGCTTAACATTACTACTGTGAGTAATTCCATTGCTTCTACACATGTAGATGTTTGCAGGACTCAGGCAAAACCCAGCAAAGCCAGGATTTTGAGGTCTAGAGATCACTTAGGATCAGGAGGTAGGCAGTACTTGGAATGGATAAGGTTGGCATATAGACATTTCTGGAAATCTGATTTTGGAAATATTTTGTATGTCTACTGCATATTTTATTATATGTATCAAGAATTCCCAATCAAGATCAAGGCTCTATTGTGCGAGGTGCTGTACAGTCACTGTAAGTGACAGTTCCTTCCCTAAAGAGTTTACAGTCTAAGGCCTGGTCTACATTACTGGATCAGGTCAACGTAAGCGGCCTTGTATCAACCTAGCTGAGCAAGTGTCTTCATTTAAATTTGGCTCCTGCCCAGGGCCGGCTCCAGGCACCCAAGCTGGTGCTTGGGGCGGCACCTGGAGGGGGGCGGCGCGGTGCTCCGGCCGCCGGGGAGAGCGGGACCACAGCCGGGGCTCGCCGCCCTGCCCCCGGCGCTCTGGCCGCCGGGGGGAGAGCCGAGCCCCCACCGGGGCTCACCGCCCTGCCCCCGGCGCTCTGGCCGCCGGGGGGAAAGCCGAGCCCCCGCTGGGGCTCGCCGCCCTCCTCCCAGGGCTTCGGCCGCCCTCCCCTCCGGCGCCCTCCCCCCGGCTGCCGGGGGGAGAGCGGAGCCCCCGCCGGGGCTCGGGGGGGGCGGCCGGAGGCTTTTTTGCCTGGGGCAGCAAAAAAGCCAGAGCCGGCCCTGCTCCTGCCTCTCTACACTGATTTAGTAACATCACCTCCCCAAGCAATGTAGCGTCACAGTAATTAGGTCGACTCAGTGTACAGGTAGGGTGACCAGATGTGCCGATTTTATAGGGACAGTCCTGATATTTGTTTTTGTTTTTTAATATGGGCTCCTATTACCCCCCACCCCCGACCTGATTTTTCACACTTGCTGTCTGGTCACCCTAGACATTGTGTTCCTTACATCAACTGTTACTGCCTTTCAGGAGCTGTCCCACAATGCTCCACACTGGCAGTACAATCGATGCAAGCGCTCCTGGTGAGTATGTGCACCGCCAGCACAAAGAACCAAGTGTGCACACACAAGCGATTTTATAACCGTGGTGGCTGTATGCCGATGAAAGTTAGACCGACATCATTTTGTAGTGCAGACATGGCCTAACTAGACAAGAGAGACAAAGCGTGTGGGGGGAAACAGAGGGATAGCATGATTTACCCAAAGGACACACACTGCATGTTTTTCTCATACTTTCTGTAACGTGTATTTATCTATAACCAATCATTAAATAGTGTAATTGCCGGAAAATTCTCCATGTTATGCTGAAAATGATTACTACCCACAGCAGCATCTGTGAACTGAAAAGCAATTAATTTAGAGAGACAGAATAATATGGTGCAGAGAGCGGCCTGGTACAGAATTATTACAGAGCTCTCAAAGGCGGTAATATTTCTAGAAATACCAAACTAGACAGTTAAATAAGTCACTGAGGTCAGCTTCAGGAGAAAAATATTTTCAGATCAT